ACCAGTCTGTTTCTAATATTTATGATATGTAAGCTGCTAGTGACCCGACCCCTGCCCTTGGTGCAGGGAGGTGGCATGTATGTTCTGCTGGGATCAGGTTCTCCACTTTGTACAGGGGAAGATAAAGGCTTTGTTTAAAAATAAATACATCACTCTTGGGTTTGTCAGTGGTACTGTACATTTTCCTCTCTGCCAGTCTGTGTTTACAGGCGTAGGAAAGCAAAAATAAATGTATGAGGAAGAGAGAAGAAGGTCAGAATATCAAGTGTCAAAAGTAGCCCATGAAATTTTATTGGTAGTGCATTTAATCAGTGCTAAGCGTTTTTTACAAGGTACATACAAACAGTGGAATTGTAAAAATTTATGGAATGCTGTGTACAGTGTGGCCGTTTATGAAGAAAGGAAAATTTATATCCAGTTGAAATAAACCAAAGGGGAATGTTTTATGGAGATGCCTCAACAGCAGGATACATCAAGTTAAGGTCTAGATAAGGTGAGGATGGAGTATTTGCAGGGGTTTGCTGATCTGTGAGGTGTTTTTCTGCTTCTTCAGCAGCTAATGCTTTGCATCTTTCTGTGGCTCTCAGATAGGCAGGATGCTGGATGCAGTGGCTGTGTGGTGTTTGTGTTTTTCTGTACAACAGAAAGGAAACACAAGTGAACAGCTGCTGCTGGTATCTGTGGTACAGGGCTCTCGCTCTTGGGCTCGTTCCAGTACAACAGTTTCTTGAGCAGCCCTTAATATCCAGCTGGGAAGGGTTAACTGAAGCCAATCACTCTGACATCAGCATTTTTTTGTTTCCTTTTTGGTCCAGTATTTTGTTGATGATAAAGCACAGACTTAGTCAATTGAGAGATTCCAGAGCTGCAGAATCAGAGATAATTTAATTAACGGAATTGCCTGTGATTGCCCACTGGGACAGCGGGTAGGAATTGCTCGATTTAATTTGGAGAAACAAAGATCACATGCATGCTAATGTTTAACAAATAACCAGTGTTTGGGTTAAAGTTTTTTTGCAAAGAGGGGGGCAGCCATTTCCCAGGGGAGATTTCCCAGGAGGTGATTGCTTCCTAACAGCTCAAAGCTACTGATCGGTCTTTTTTCCTCCTCCATGGTGGTTTTGTGCACTTCTTCTGGCCTTTTATCTAAACAAAGCAAGGATTTGCTCAGATAAATAAAATTTGTTCTTATTTTCAGTGCTCTGGGGAAAATGCTGTGAGTAGTAGAAAAATGTGTGTTGGGCATAAAGGCTGAAAATTACCACGTGCTGTCTTGCCCAAGTCTCACAGACTTGCTCCTTGGTACTCAGCATCCTCAGGTGTGTCTGCCAAGTTGTGGAAGAGTTAACCATGAAGAGAGTACAAGTACAAGACCCAGGTTCCTCCACGAGGAGCCCTCCCTTCTTGTTTTCGCTCTTGTATAAATGTTCTCTCGCAGTGGTGGTGTAGGTCCACAACGAGTCTCTGTCATGGAGGTGCCCTCTTGGTATGGCCTCAGCCAGGGAGGACGACTCAGGTTTCAGGGAGGCCACTTGCACCTGCTGGAGGAGCATCAGTGCTGGGTCTCAAGGTATTGCTCTTGGCAGCAGTCGTGCTCAGCAGGTCTCTCTGGAGGCTGATAAATGACGTTATCCAAATACGTCAAATCGGAGCGCTGAGGCGCAAAATTGCTGAGAGTCCTTCTGCATCCAGCACGAGGTCAAGGCAAAGCAGAGAGCCAATTCCTTCTTCCCTGTAATTCCCTCTGCCTCACTTGGCAGGGTAACTTGTACACAGCCTTGCCCTGTCCATGGAGCTTGGCTTTCTGACCCTCGCTCCACCCTGGCGTTACCCTGTAAAAATACTGCCCAAGGCTGCTCCCAGCTGTGTCTGGGCAAGCACACACGAGGTGTGCACACAAGAGGGAAGCCTGAGGGAGTTCCCAAGATTGCTGCTGCAGGAAGAGTTGCTCCTAAGCGATGCTTATCTTTAGGATACAAGCAGCAGGTTGACGGTAAAATGTCGCTAAATGGAATGGCATGTGTCCCAAGTGTGCTGGCCACCACAGGAGCCAGACACATGGGAAGTGACTCTGGTCTTTATTCCATCCCTGGAGGTAGTTTCAGTTTCCTTTATTTACTAATGTTCTCCCTATTTCCCTTGACCTCATTTCCTCTGGCTTTTCGGAAGCAACCATGCAATTATCGCTCACTTTGGGTTGACCCTTGGCTGCCACGTCCCTTGTTGCTGCTGCTCTGAGAGGTTTTCCTGAAATCTCAAGTGCAAAATACTCACTTGTGGCCAAAACTCCTATCTCTCTCGTGAGTTAGGAGCTATGTCTTCAGCAACTGTGCCGTCTGTCAGGGTTTGTCCTGTGAGCACGCTTGGCAGGGAGAACATGGAGTTTAATTCTGTCACAGCTGAGCTTTGATCAGCACTGGGAGATACTGCAGTGGCTGAAGCTCCCTCTCTTACCAATGCACCCCAGTCTTGTTAATAAATGTATATTTAACAATGTCTGGAGCGTATGAAGTGATAATAACTAAATCAATACCTCCCACATTGATTGTCCAGGATCCCTACAGCGTGACGCACGCAGCGGTGCGGTAATTTTCCAGCTAACTAGCACCCTGATCTACAGCCCTCCTATTGATTGGCCATTGTATCAAGCAGCCTCTGAGCATTATTGCTTATGCCTCTATTCAGCCTCCTTTTCTGATTCATTCGTTTATTACTGGACAGGTGCGATTATCTCAGAGACTTTCCAAAATTGGCCGATGAGGGTCAACCATTTAGATTTCTATAAACAAGCCATTTTCTATCTCCTCTAGTTGTTGCAGTGGCAAATTTTTCCTATTCAGGCTTTGACTGTTAGTGGGGTTGAATGGGTGTTTGCTTGTATCTGCCCAAGGAATCAGCTTTTTCCTTTTCTTGCTGAGTCACCCACCCATCAGAGGAGGACAGATAGCTCCACAGATGGTAAAAGGAGAATATAGCAACAGTTGAGGTTCTGCTTGCCACCTGCTCTGGGCAGGAGTCACACTCACTGCCTTTACACCTCCATTGCCCTTGTGCATGCAGTAAGGAGAAATGGATTCCAGGAAGTCAAATTCAACTTCAGCCTTCACCCAGTATCAGCTTGTTGGTGGGCCAGACTGGAAGACAAACAATTTTCTCAGCCAGCAATAATCTTCAAGCTATAAATAAATAATTCTGTTTCTTCCTTAGACAAAACTAACACCTTTCTAGACTTCCTTTGAAAATGCTAGCAACTCTTCCTTGAGGGTGAGAACTCAAGCTGGGATATGGTAATATTTCATACCAAAGGGTTAGGAGCAAGTGGGTGTTTCACAGCAGGGAAGGCTGTCTCCTACTGAAGCTCTTTCATCTTGCTCCAAAGAATATTTATTGATTCTAAGACTTGAATCCACAGTGTTCCTGTCCCCAGACAGTCCTTACCCAGTAGGCTATCATGGGACATGTGTACTTCTTTGCCTTTTTTTGCAGTTTTGAAATGGTTACCATTTTCTAGCAACTGTCACTTCCAATGAATCTCCTTCTGATGAAGATCTCCTCCGGTAGCTCGTGCAGAGCATGTCTGATCTGCACAAAGGCAGGAGTGAAACTGAAGGAGCTCTATAACATTAGTACTTAACTGTACGCACTTGAGCAGCTCCACTTTCTTCTGAAGTGTCATAATTAGAAAAATCATCCAAGATCTCTTTGACTAGCTCTTTTACCAAAGGCTTGGGAAAAGCCAGCAGAATCACCTCGTTGGAGATTCCCCGGGTCCCTCCTTGCGTGCCATCGACAGGTGACTAATGAACAGAAGAGTGAGTGCGTGTGTGCAGCGAGAGAGCTGAGAGTGCAGCTCACTTTGCTGGTTGTAGTAATTCCACTAGACCCATGTTTTAGCCACCTGTTGGTGAATCATCCTCTAAAAAGGTAGAACACGTGGGTGCCACTGTGGGTTATGTTTTGATTGATGATGCAGCTTCTGACAGCGAAATACTCTTCAGGTTCTTCTGAGCTGGATTCTGCTTGGACAGACCTGAAATTCACTGACATAAATGAAAATTGTTGTTTTGTTTTTATTCACAAGAGTGAAAGCCTTTATGTCAGTGCTCTAAGCCTTTTCTGGAGAATGCTTGAGGGCCCCTCCTTATGCCTGCACTGTGTATAAATCGGGTTTTGCAGCATGCCAGTGACACATCCTTGTCTATAATGCTCCCTGCATCTCATTTGCTAAGCATTGCTGTCTGCCCTTGCTTTTAGGTTGGCAAGTTGCTCTTTTCACCAGCCTTGCAGAACCATGAAAATACAGTTGCCTGCCCTCAGCACAGCGCCTCTGTGACAAAAGAGAGAATGTTGCCCATCAAAAATGACCCTAAGAAATGGGAAAGCAGATTGTGAAGCTGCCTTTATAACCAGCCTGTTGACAGCGCTCAGTGCTGTTGGTTTCTCCTTTTTTTCAGTATTAGAAGCCAAAAAACTAGGGCTTTCATTAATATAAAAGCATTGTGTTGATCCTGTGTAATGAGCTGATGTCGCGTTACATGAGGTTGATGGCCAGCAAAGGCCTCCGTTCTCTGAGGGGAAGAGCAACTCTTATTGCCCACAAAAAGTTATCTCAGCAGCTTTAAAGCAACGTACAGAACTTTGCCTCAAGTGTGTGATCCTAAGTAATCTCTTAAGGGAGACAAGAAAAAAGGCAGAAAGCAAACAAAAAAACCCCAGCAGAAATACCTGTTCTTTAAATGTCTGTGTCTTGTGGAAATTTGCTCTGTATCAAGCTGCAAGCATCATTTGTGTTCTTTGGTGATATGTTTGGAGGTGTTTAGTAGGACACTTTACAGAGTTCACACTGGGCTTTTCAGGAATTCTGCTTTACCCCAAGGCAGATATATTAGTTTGAGTATTATGCCATTTCCTGGGCAGTACCTGTTGTGGGATCCTTTTTCCCCCAAACTCTTAAGAGTCTTGTGTGCTCAGTGATGCTCACGCTCCATCATCTTTTGCAGAATTACAGAAGACTCTGCAGTGACAACATTTGAAGCGTTAAAGGCTCGTGTCCGTGAGTTAGAAAGGCAGCTTTCCCGTGGGGACCGCTATAAATGTCTCATTTGCATGGTGAGTAGCACTCCACTTGTGGTAATGAATCAGAAATGTCTTGATATCTTTGCTGAGGAGGGGGATAAGCTTTTCTCCTTTTTTCAGGCAGAATGTGGGGGAGCTCGTCACCAATTAGCCTTCCAAATGAAGGTGGTCTTAGCAACCAAAATTTCCGTATGCATTATGTTGTTCCTATGGTATTGGCAGCTGTCCGTCTATATCAGGGAAAAAAAGTTCCAACTTTTTTTATAGGAAGACTTTGAGCCTTCCTATAGAACACTCCCAGATATGAAGCATCCTCTTACTGCATGTCCACATTTACATGCATAGGAGAGAGCAGAATCTGTGATCAGAGACCCACTTTCTCTGATTTGGGAACAGAAATGTTGCCTGAGCATTCAAAAGTTGTTGATGCCCTGCTTGCTCTGTGCTGATGCTGTGGCTCTCCTAAAGAAGGGCAGCAGCTCCCTCTGATGGTCCGAGCCTGCAGGGCTCTGCATCTCCTGTTGGGTTTCTGTTCTGCTCAGATCAGGAGAACATTCTGCTTGGTGGAGAGCTCCCTCTGCAACTTCATCTGGATGCACAGGGTTCTCTCTCCCAGCCAGCTCACAGCTTGTAGATGTGGGAGTGCAGCCCTTGCCATTCATCCCACAGAAAGAACAACAACTTACTCTCGCTGCTAATTTCCAGAGGTTTCTTAGGAATGACAGAAGATACTCACATGTCTGCTGAAAGAGTAGCAGTATTCTTGGGATGTAGTTAAGCTGTTCCTGCAGAGCTGTGAGTTGTGATAAGGGTTGATCTTGCCCTGTCACTGGTTTTTGTATGATCTGGTGACCTTTCTGATGAGAATAATGGTAGGTGGCCACAGCAACTTCAGATGCTTTTGCAATAACTGTGCTGAATCAGATCACCACTTGAGTGGATTATGGGCTTCCAACAGGAGTTCTGGGAAGCCAAGAAAAGGGGCTGCAGGAGACTTTCAGCCTCTTCTGTACAAACATTACAAAAATGCAACTTACATATTACACAAAACACCAGGCAGTGTTACCCACAAAGAGAGGCATTGTGATGGGGTTGGGAGTGAAGAATCAGTAAATCCCTGCTGTGGAAATAACCTGTTTGCTTCTTCTCCTCAGGACTCCTACACAATGCCCCTGACTTCCATTCAGTGCTGGCATGTGCACTGTGAAGAATGCTGGCTGCGGACTCTGGTGAGGCTCTTGACTACTTTCTTGTTCACTTACAGCCTTTCCCCTCTCTTCTTTGATACTTTTAGATCACCACAGGGAAAGGTGCTTTTTGCTTTATTTTAGATAATGTGAGTGCTGTGCCTGCAGACTGCCCAAACCTTGCTGTGTAACACCCCACTCTAGCTTTGACTTGAGTGAGTTTCGTTTGAGTCATTGTGACCAAATTGCTGTCCCGCCCCTTGCTTGTTGCTCCACTACTTGTGGGCACAGCCATGGCTCGTTGAAGAGCTCTGTGCCAGGGACTACCTTGCCTTACAGTAATTTCCTGTGGGGCATCCATGCAGAGAGGTAAAGCTGTGAGAATGGAGGCCAAATCCACTGAGATTTCATGGAATGGGTAGCTTCTGAGAAATGTAATATTCCCCCGAAGCAAAGGAAATCATCTTCAGGAGAAGAGGATATGGAAGGGAGCTTTTATGAATATGGATCTGTATTTTTTAGATTATTTGAAATAGCGCTGTGTAGTTTTCAAGCATATACCATCCATGTTTAGAAGTTTGGGGACTACCTTGAATGTAGAATAGGTGACCCAGTAGAGCAGCAATTTATACATTAATTAAAGGACATCAGGTTAAAATTTATTTAATGAAGTGTTTTCTTTTCCTGTGTTTAAACTGTGGGGTTTTATAATCAGTCTTTAATGTCCCCTCTGCAGCTGATTTTCAAACTTTCATTTTGCTTAAGTTGGGGAGTGGAAAATAGTTGTGCTTTCTAGTTCTCCTGTTAGCAAGATGATACAGTGTTGGGTTGCAAAAAATGTAAGGGAGTGCCACTCCTAAAAACTTGTTCCTGTAAGGCATTACTCTACTTTATAGAACACGTTGTGTGCTTGGAATTACGATTAAGCTGATCATGCTCCTTTAAATCCTGCCTTTTAAAAGTCTTGTCCAAGAAAAGTTACCAGGATGCTGAAGTGCCTGTGGGCTTGAGTACTAATAGCAACTCAATAACTTGGCTATCCCTCGGGCTGTATTTTATAGCTCTTCAGCTACACCCCGTCACTATTTAGTTTATACAAGCTTTTGTAAACATTTTAGCAGCATGTTATAAAAGACACATATGTGGGCACATAGCTGTGAGGTGTTTGGATGAATGTGTACTCTGCCACCTTTGCTAAGTGAAGAGTAATCTTGTCCTTCAGCAGTGCTGCAGGCACAGGATAAAACACTAACATACTTTTCATTTTCTTTACTCTGAAGTCTTTGTCTTCTCCCCTTCCCGCCAGCCTCAAGTCACCTTCTAAATCTGTGACACCAATTTCAGGCTGCTCTTAGACTCAGCAGCAACTTAGTTCAACTTCAGTCAGGCCCCTTTGTGTCGTGTTCAGCAGTCACAGCTGCTCATGAGAACGGGGAAACTCACTCCAGGTGCTCAGGGATTAGCATTTTCCTTGCAGACTGGGAGCCATCTCCCCCTAGAATTCCGTGAGAAAGGTGGGGATGAAGCTGGCTGTGTGTGATCTGCACATGGCTCTTCTGCTGACCAGGCAGGCAGGATGGGAATAGTCCAGCAAGACATCATGTTAAGACTTGGCACTTGCATAGGGGAAGCAATTAATAAGTGACTACTCATGTGTTCCCCAGTCCTAGTCTCTCCCTGCAGCCCCCAATTTATTAAACCAGGCCTTTTCACAAGGCATGCTTGCACTCCCTCTCCCATCTCAAAAAAAATCTCCCAGCCTGTGTTCGCATGTTTCTAATGTAACCATTAAAATGTAGCCTGAAGACAGCAATAAAAACCCTGGAACGCCTTGGTGCTTTTGTGTCTTGATCAAAGTCAATGTGTGTAATCTCGTTAAGACTGCCCTCCTTCCCCCCCTCCTTTTTTATGAATTTAATGGCATACAGCAGCTGGACTCAGTGTTTAATGCTTACCAACCTGCATTGTTCTAATTAAGGTATCTCCTTTTATTTCGGGCACAAAAGAGACTCTTGTTTTTTTTAACAAGCGAGGAGCTGTGGGATAGTGTGTGTAATAATCGCTGCTGTTACCTTTCCCTGGGTATAAAGCTGGCTCCCCAGTGGGGCTGGGAGGAGGGAGCCTGCGCGTGCAGCACACATGGAAAGACTTGGCTGGGGGAGAGGGGCAGCATTTTTCTTCTGTTGTGCAATAAACAATTTGTTGGAGTTAATAGGAGTTGGGGCGGGCAGGTTGTGTTGGGCTTCCGGCCCCTTTTGAACATTCTGGAGATCTGCCATCCCTGCTGGTGAAAAGTCCCCTTTCTCTTCTATCCCTGTGGTTCCTGTGTCCAGCCAAGATCTAATATGAAATTAGAGTGTGAGTGTGTCTGAGAGAGCGAGGATCATGTACTGAACAAGGCTCTGGAACTGAGGGTTCAGAGTGTCTGGGGGCACTTCTAAACCCCTGCAGGGCATTGAACATGGGGTGAAATTTGATGCTCACATCTGTCTGTGGACCTAAGGTTTAAACATCTTCTAGGATACAATACTACAATGATCTGAGCATCTCTAGTATCCTCTTGACTTTAGCGGTGTCAAACCACAGCCATGAGCTTGTTGCTCCCTACTTGCTGGTTGTCTGGGACACTCAACACAGTGACATTTTTCATTCACCTACCCTGCGTGCTGAGAACTGAGTTGATATCTTAAAGTTATGCAAAAACTGGGACGCGGGCCTGGAGTAACTTATCTGTGATCCCTTTTGGAAAGCCCTGGAAACATGTGCAGGTTCTTCAAAGATAGGAAGGGAAATGATGTTGCAGGAGCAAAGCTTAGCCTGGACAGCAGGAGGTGGATTCATTTCCCTGAACAGACACTGTCCTTGTGGCAGGTGTCTGTCCTCAGCTGGTTGTTGGACTGCAGCCCCGAGTCACTGGGGATGAATCTCCCTGTGGTACAATCTGCCCCTTCTCCATCCTTCCCAATTAACTGAGAGTTAACACTAGTACAGCTACTAGTGTGTGGGATTTCTATTTTCCTTCTCTTGGGAAGGGTGCTCTAACAGTAGAGACTGGCCATCTGCTTTGCTGGGGAGGTTTGTGAGAACAGGTTTGATGTGTGTCTGTCTGCAGTAATTCAAGTTGAGGTGATATTTGCCAGGGGAGTGGGTTGGTGAGTTCTTCATGTCCCTCTGAGCTGTAATTCTGTGATCTCCCAAACCCTGGTATCTTTCTTTACAAAGTAAATGTAGTTAGAAGCTAAGTCAGGCTGTTGTTTGCCAGTGATGGAGCTGTTTTGTGGGTGCAGGGGCTGAAAGAAGACGGGTTTATTTGAGCAGATGCAGTTTACTAAGTTTCCCCCATCACCTCTACAGCCAGAGCCAGCATTTCCCATGGGTGTTTGCTGACTCTAGGCTTGTGCTTGCTTGCCTTGGGCTTATTTGAAAATGACAACTGCAAGAGCAGGAAAAAAACCACTTCTAAAAAGCCTTCTTCATCATAGAATGCTTCCAGGGGATCCATCAATAGATATGTGTGCTCTGCAGTTGACACACTTACACCTTTGCTGGTTTACCGTGTTCTTAGCTTTGCCACTTCAATACCCATGCAGGCTGGAGTAGTTTTGTACAGAACAGCATAGATACAGAGCAATCTTTCTGGGTGATTCCTGGGTGCTTCCAGCAGCACAGGGACCTCCTGAGTCAGCAGCTGCATGGAGGATGCTGCATGATGATCATTCATGATGCTCCTGTGTACAGTGAGGTTCTTTGGTCATTTATTAACATTTTTTCAGCTCTGGCCTGTGGGGGTGAGCTCCACCCTTGGAGGAGGCTCTGTGAAAAAAGTTGTTCTCCTGGTGGTTTAACCCCAATACCTGACAGCTGGAGGGTACCCCACAACAGCAGTGGGGAGCAGCTGCTTCTCTGGGAATTAGCATTTGCAGAGAAGAAGCTGCCACTTCATGTGAAGGCATGGGTGGGAGAGAGGGCTGTCACCTTGGTTGAGGATTGGATCTTGGCATTCTATTCCTCTCCTGGCAGAAGCTGGCTCTTGGTTTGGGTCCCTCTTGCATCTCTCTGTTTTGATTTTACTTCCTCTACTTGCTCTGTGTGTGTGTGTGTCTTTATTCTCTGTGCCTGGTAGCATATTGTGCTTGGAAATTGCCCATTTTTAGACCCACAGGACAGCAGGAAGTGCCTAAAATCCTTCCTTTTGAGTTTCCCTGCTTTAGCCAATTTATAGCAGACGTCACACCATTTTTTTTTAAGAGGCAACTTTAAGACAAACTCCTCCAATCCTTCCTGGCACCATGTAAGCCCTAACGACTTTTCAACATCTCAGCTCTCGTTAATGTATTTTTCAAACTACTACCCCAAGTGATTAGCCTGTATTGTGGATCAATCACTTGCCAAATTTTAATTAAGAAAGGAGGAGAAAAAATAAACTCCATCCTGGTTCCAGCTCCGTTTCTTTGCTTTGTAACAGCCCTGGAGCAAACTTCTTGCAGCAGAGTTTTATAAACCCCTCAAAACTGGGGTTTATAATGGAAAAGCTGAGGTGGCCTTTACTCTAGCACACACAGCTATAACACATCAAGGCTTTTCCATGTAGCTATGATGAAAGGAGCAGAAGGACCTGGAAAAAAAGAAAGAAAGAAATGGCCGACAGGTGGGACTTATTATTCCACAGCATTTTTATTTCAAGGGAAAAGTTTAGTAACCCCAGCTGGCAGGTGAGCAGTGGGGGAGCAAACGCTTTTTCATTGTGCCTGTGCCAGCATGTGTGTGTACAAGCTTATGTGCCTCTCCACAAGAGAGGAGAGCCTAAACTCTGGTGCTGATAAACGTTGTACACCTACTCCTGAAGTCAGATGTAAGGAGCAAGGTTCTGAGCAATTTCAATCTGAAAAGAAAAAAATCAGGACTTAGTTCTGAATTTAACACACATGCTTTATGTGTGCAGAGGAGGACGGTTTTATTTCATAAAAAGAAAGAAAAATGCATCCCCAAGGGTCCAAAGTAATTATTTTTGCCTGAACTGTTAATACCAAGCATAAGTACTAGAGAGACCCTGAGCCCAGCGTGCCATGTGCAGCCTGTGCAGCGTTCAGGCCTGGCTGCTGAAGGTCTCCAGCATGCTGTTGTTCCCTCCAATGTACCCAGGCTTCAGAGCTCCAGCATGAGCTCCACTTCCCATGTGCAGGTGAAGCAACATCCACCACTGCCCTAAATCAGTCTGTGGTCATGTAGCTTTTGCAGAAAATAGGTCAAGCTCCGTGTGTTTGGGTTCTGCTTTGTGGCGTGGTTGAAGAAACTTGAGGTGCCCGTGTGCAGCTCAGCCTTAGGTGGGAGAGTGGATCAAGCCATCAGCATGTGGTACAGAAAATAGATCTCAGGGTCAGAGATCCCAGGATATTCCAAGATAAATCCACCCAACTTCCCTTTCCCTGTGGTGTAAAGAAACTACATACCTGACCTTGCTTTGCCATGGAAGAGAGCAGCAAAGCTGCAGTTGGTTTAATCAGGCTTGTTCTGCCATCCCTGTGGGCTGATGGTGGAGGGCTGCTGCAGACCTGGTCAGAGTGGCTTTCCAGGAACCCAAACTTCTGAATTTTCCTGCAGTGAGCTGTCTAGTCTGTGTTAGGGAGGTTGCCCTTGCTAAGGGTCACACACACCTGCCCTCAACTGTCGCAGTCCAGCTTCACATCCCAGAATGGAGCACAAGGTGCAGGAGGGTGAGGTGGCAGCAGCTGAGGTTGGCTTTTAGCAGAAGAAAACTCAAGGAGGTTCAGTGCTCCTCCCCACCCACCTGCAGGCAAATGTCTCTGACTTCCTTGGAGCTGAAAGAGCAGCTGAAGTGCTGTTGAGCATTGCACAGGGGCATTGAGGAGCAGGGGCCGTGGTCTGAGGTGGCAGCAAGCACTGTCCATCCTTTGCCCCAGACTGAAGGCAGGCTGAGGCATTCAATGGGTCAGAGCACTGGTCCTGCAGAAGGTACATTGTATCCTGGTGCATTGTCCAGAGAGGCAGGAGCTCCAGCTGCTTGGTTGGATGCTTTGCTGCCTTTTGTGTGTAAGCTGTGCCTGTCTTGGGAAAGAGAGCATGGACACAGATGTGGCCAGTAGTTCCATCTGGAATGATTAACATCCCCATGCACACTTACTTCTGCTTGTCAGGGCACACAGGAAAGCTCAAACAGGCAGCTGCCAACTGCTGTCCCTTGGACAACATGCTGTGAATTAATTCCTCAACACCTCCCTGCCACTTCCTTTGGGACCCTCTGGCTACAAAGATGATGCCAAGAGGGCAACCAGGTACAACAGGTGCCTTGATGAAGGACCAGGGAACTGCATGGAACTAAGCAGGGACTCAGTTGAAACAGGCTATTTTGTGACATTTGCATCCAGATTAGTGAGCCCCTCCATGGAGGTGCTGCTGTATATCCTGGCCCACAGTGTCAGAAAGGGCAGATGTTTACATTTTTCTCTCCTTCATATTGTTGGCACTGCAGCAAGTTTTTACTAGGACATGCAGGGTTAGAGCTTGCCCTTTCTGTGCAGGCACAGTGGGATGGTCCCTGCCCCAGAAGGCTGAAAATCTAAACAGACACAGTAGTTGTCCCAGATAACTAAAAGGATCAGCATCAGAGTTAGGTGCAACATCCAGACTACCAATGGTCTGTCCCACTGCCAGTCTGTCACTCACCCCGAGAGTGATGCCTAAGGTATTTTGAGTGTCCATCATGTGTTTCATTCAACTCTATCTCAACAAGACTTTGTGTGTGCCTGGTTCAAATCTCAGGTGCAAAGGCCCATGGTCCCCTCGTGTGTCTGGGCAGCTGTTGAGCTGTTGAGCAGCAAGGGCTGTCAAATGGCAGCCTGATTGTTCAGAAGTCCAAAGCTCAGGGAATAGCAAGTGTGTGAAGTCCATGTCTGCCAGGAATAACATGCACTGGGAGCAGGGAGGGGGCTGGTTCCAAACTAGTCTGCAGTAGTACTCAGTACTGCAGAGCAAACATGACTTGCACCTCTTTGGAGGTGCACCCTTGTGAATTACTCGCACTCATATAAATTTTCTGTACCTGGGACTCTCTCCTCTAGATTCTCCTTAGCCTAAAGAACTTCCAGGGGAAAAGGCCCCTGTCCTGCCTTTGCAGGTGTTGTCACAGAGCAGAGAGGGCCTGTTCTAAGGGTACTTGCCTTTTGTAAGCAGCAGTGCCACCTCCTCTGCTGGGGATGTACCCAAGTGCAGGCAGCAGTACCGAAGCAGTGCCCTGCCCTGCTGCCGCACTCACTGCTGCAGGCACTGCAAGAAGCCCTGCTCACGGAGGGCATCCCTATTTCCTGTGCTGCTAGTGCTGTAGGTGGAGGCTGCCTCACAGCAGAGCCATCTTTCTGTCGTTTTTCCCATCAGTTGTCTGTCACATCTGCCAATCTAATGATGACTGGCTTAGGTTGACCCCGATTCTGAGGCTTGTTAACACCTCTTGGCTGTCAGGCTCTGTAATAGATGGCACATCAGCCCTTGTTTTATTTCATGTAGTGCTCATGTCGGCCACCCATTACTCCACCCCAGCTCACATCACAGTTTGCTGTTTTCAGCTCACCTTGGCAGAAGAGACTCATCTCTGCAGCATCTGTGTGAGCTGGGGGGACAGGACCAGGGTTTCCTTCGTGCTGGCAGCTCGTGGGCTTTTGCAGGATGGCCAAGGCACTGCCCCATCGTGCTGCCCTGAAAGGGATGGTCCAAGCCCACCATGAACGAGCTCAGGCATGAGAACCTGCTGAAAACTTAACTTGTTCCAGCTGGGTTGATTTTCTGCCTGTTCAGGCACCTGAATTGGCTCATTGAGGGCTGCAGGTGAGCGAGAGAAACAGAAAGGAGCAGATCTCCTTGGCAGCCAGCGGTGCCAAGTTTGGTGACACACATTGGCTCTGGGTTTCAGCCCCCCAGAGCTCCTGCTTGCCCAGCAGCCTCATGCTGGGGACTGGAACAGGACAAGGGGCTTGCAGGGCACGCAAGAAAGGTGCTGGTTGGGGCTTCCCTTTCTCACAGCCTGTGCCCACTGCTGGGAGGGGACAGCCCTTGCTGGAGGGGAAGGAGGGCGACATTGCTGCTCCCGTGAGGTTGCAGGCCCAGGGCAGGGCCGTGTGGGTCGTCCTTCGTGCTCTCACACTTTGTGTCTCGTCTGCTGCTTGCAGGGTGCCAAGAAGCTCTGTCCCCAGTGCAACACCATCACATCTCCTGGAGACCTTCGGCGCATCTACTTATGAAGGACCCGGCGGTGGGGCGGGACCCAGCGATCGGCTCAGCTCATCACACCCAGGGGGAGAAGAACGACCGCAACAAAAAAAAAGACGTTTTAAAATTTAAAGAGAAAAAAGAAAAAAAAAACAACAAACCAGAGACTCCAGACATGGACTCGAGGATACAGGAGCAGTGGGGAGCCTCGGCTGCCAGGTCCCGCAAGTTGAGACCTCCTTCAGCATCTGCAGCGGGCAAAACCAAACCCTTTGTTGTGAAGCCCCCTTTTTTAAAACCAGTGTTCCCCATCACCCGTTCCCTGGAGCTGGCTTTGCATTGTGGATGGCTCGTGAGCCATCCTTTGGACTGTGTTGTTGACCACTCTGCCCCCAGGAGACTGGGGAAGGGACCCTTGACAGAAAGATGTTAAATAACCTGTAACTTGTGTTCTTTGTTCAGTTTTGTTTTTGTTTTGTTTTTATTTGTTTTGGTTTGGTTTTTGGTTTGGTTCTGTTTTGGTTTTTTGTGGTGTTCTAGTGATAACAAAAAGGTTTAAAGAAAAAAAAAAACACACCCAGACAGAAATGAAGCACATGTAATATAGATTATATATGTTTACAATGTTGTGTATAAATGGGATAGACTCAAACATTACATACTAATAAGTTTCCCTTTCTTTTCTTTGGGTTGTATTTTTTTTAAAGAAGAAAAAAAAAATGAGCAGAGAACATTAAACCCATATTTTTCTTGGTTCAGCAAAGTTTTGGCATTAAAGTCATTAGTTTAAAAAAAGTATATATATACATATATATAATATAAATGGTTTAATGTTCTGTGGTGTATATTTCCTCATTCAGATATGAAGTTAACAGCTTTTAGTAATGGCTGTAGCATTGCCCATAACTTACAGAACTTATGGGGAGTAGAGGAGGTGGATTTTTGTCATTAGTTGTAGCTAATGGGGCTATTTATAATAGAATCGTTATCCCCGGAAAGACACAGCTTTTAACTCCTCACCGGGGGCCAGGCAGGATGGAGGAATGTGGCTCAGCCCCTTTGCCTTTTCCAGCTGGGGAAGGGGCAAACGGTGTGGAGCCGGAAGGAGGGAGTCAGCTGGAGCCCTGCCTCCTCCTCGGGCTGGGAGTGCCTGCTCAAGGGGTCCGGCTGATCCCCTCTGCCTCCTCCAAGGCTGTGGCACCTTCCCCTCCCCTGCCCGGCTTTGCTTTCCTCTCCTCCAGGCAGCATTTGCTGGCTGAGGATGCCTGGGCTGCTCAGGACAGTGGGGAGGTGGGGATGGCAGGGGACAGGGTGGTCGTGCTGGTGGCTTTGCCCAGAGAGCTGGGCCAGTTCCCTCACGGGTGTGGCTGCAGTGGGCCCGGTGCTGCCCAGCAGAGCTGTGCAAACCCTGCAGAGCCAGCCCTGCCCTGCACCCACATCCCGCAGCTCCCACCCTCCTACAGCCTGCATTTTGCCCAAGAGGTTTTGGCACTAGGGCAGAGAGCTAAGCCAGCCCTGTCTCATCCACACCACCACCCCCAGAGTGTCCAGCAGAGACATTTCCAGCTGAATCCAGAGGTTCCCCACAGCCCCAGCTTCTTCCACACAGTCTCTCATGCTTGTCCCTGTCTCCCATATCCTCAGCCTTAACCAAAGCTGCCATCTGGCCTGTTCTTTTGTTTTTGTTTCTTTTATTGTCAGGACCCAAGAAAGAGGTAACGATCCATTTCCCAAGACCTCGTGTGCTGAATTCTCCCAGCTCCACACTGTGCATCCCTGCCCTAGCTCCCCACAGCCAGAAGACAGGGAGATGGGGAAGCTCATCTCCCCTGCTCCTGCAGGGTCTTTCCAAGCAGATCCCACCTGGCAGCAAAACGTGGCTGGGGCGTTTTAAGACAGTCTGGGAACAGCGGTGGATGAGGGGTTTGGAACTGGGCCGCTGGGGTATTTCCAGAGAGGGAAAGGCTGGGGAGGCAGGATGTGGAGGGCAGGATGTGTTCCCTGCCCTGAGCTTGGTGCTGTTTTGCAGAGAACAGCTGCTGGCCTTGGCATCTCCTGAGTGATTTCAGAAGGATCCCACTGCATCCAAAAAAAAAACCCCAAACCAAATTGAAGGAGCTGTTATTTGATAAGCATCTCATCAAAAGGTGACAATTCCTAATTGAGATTTTCCCGGGTCTCCAAGCTCATAGCAGTGTGTGGCCTCTGAGACCAGAGAGCTGCAGCCTCCTCTGCTCAGGGACTTGTACCTGCAGAGCTCCCAGGGACCAGAGGAAGCCGAGGGACCCTGGAGGGTCCTGACCCCATGAGGAGACTGCAGGCAGGGCCTGCCCAGGGGGCTGTCACTGCTGGGTGACCCTGCACCCAGCAGCACTCGGGCAGGGGAAGGACAGGCACACACAGCTCGGGCTGGGTTTGTGAAGGGAGAAAAACCTGGGGGGGACATGGCCGAGCTGGGAGTGTGCTGGTGCAGACGTCTCAGATTTGGACAGAGTGCAGCAGGTGGGTTTGAGAGACAGACAGGAAGGCAGGACAGGGCAGGACATCCCAAACCAGCCCTTCCTTGGAAATAGGCCCTGGGAGGGAGCCAGGATTTCTGGCAGGTGTTGTGGACCAGCCGTGTTCTCTATGTACGTATGTGTAAAACCATATGTAACTAGTCATTGTTTTTTGTTTTGGGGGTTATTTTTTGTTTGGTTTTTTTTTTTGTTTGTTTGTTTAAATTGTAAAGCCATCCCCTGTTTTCAAGGGGGGGAGCTGCTGGGGGAAGGCTGGGGAGAGTGGCACCCCGGTTTGTAACAGGCATCCGCCACTTCCCCTCTTCTGTAATGAGTTTAAATGATTTAAAAAAAAAAAAAAAACCTGAAATATCAGAGTTACCTATCTTTGCCCAAAGAATCCCAGTTGCACAAAGCGATATTCTGGTGTGTCGATGATTGTGTGTCAGTGTATATTATACAAAGAGGTACTTGTCACTCCCGTTTGTAAACTACATTTGACATTAATTAAACAAGTATAAATCTTCTCAGGCGCTTTCTGCCTCTCTGTGTTTCCCTTTGCAGGGAGAGGCAGCGGAGGAGACACCCCCACCTCATGCCACAGCCCCTGGATGTGGGTAATGTCCCAAAGGGGAGTCCTGGTCCTGTTGGTGATGCAGGGACAGATGCAGGGGGATGCAGGGACACTCGCCAGACCCCACCACGGATGGGTTGCCCCAACTGGTCCCCCCTCGTAGAGCCAGGAGGGCAGGGCGAAGGGCACCCCTCGGGGGACACCCCCATAATGAAGTCTCCTCAGCTGCATTAGCTGGGGGCAGGAGGCACCCAGCCCCAACAGATCCATACATCCTGCATTAGGGGCCCCCAGTGCAGTGTAGGGTTACCCCTGGCACAGGGACGGGCCGGGGGGGCAGAGGTCGGGTTCCCCCCCGCACGCGGCTGGCGCCGACGCTTTCGGTTTACAAACATTTTGCAGATGGGTCGATGGGGTGTTTCCAACCCCCTCCCCATGGCTGCCACCCCAGGACGGTGGGAGGAGGCAGTGGGGATTTCAGGGACCTCTTTCCATCTGCTGGGGCAAGGGTAGGGAAAGGTGGGGGGTGGAATTCAGCTGCTTTTTTGGCTGGCGAGGAGCAGCAGAGCATCTCAGCCACTCTCCAATCTGCTTTCAGCCCAAAGGAAGCCTGAGGCCAGGGTGAGGGGCTCTCCACCCACCCCGCAGCAGGCTGCTAATATTTTATTTAAAATATCTTTAGGAAGCGGAGGCCCGTGATGTATCGGATATATTGAGAAAATGCTAATGTGTAATAGCGTGTGTCAGGGGCCTCGTTCATCACCCCGCGCCGCCTTCTGGGGGATCCATATCTAATTAACAGTAATGAATGAGGGAGCCCACCTAATGACAGCCCGCCAGTTTGTTATGGAAATGAGGCAATCCCATTAGGCAAAACACTTAATTAAACAAACTGCTCGGAGTGTAGGCCAGTGCAGGATGGGCACAGGCCCTTTGGGGAACAAGAGGGGCCCTAGTACCCAGCCCCCCACATGCCAGGTCAGGGGCACAGAGGCTGCTGCAGCCCCCTAGAGCTGGGTCCCCATGGCCAACTCCAGCAGCAGCGGGTTGGGAAAGCTGAGGGGGACCCACTGGGGGGGGTCCCAGCTGGGGAGGGGGCAGTAGAGCAGTTCACATCCCCCTCTCATCTTTCCAGGACGTCAATGGGCACAGAGGCCAAACACAGATTTCCAATCAAACGTGTGTACTTGGCTCCTGCTCTATTGACACTGAAGCAAGAAGGGCTCAAGGTTAATTCCTTATCAATACCCTATTGTCAGCTCATTCATCACTTGGCAGGGGCTGCCCAAGCTCTCCCTGCCCCAGCCCCCAAGGGTTTGGGAGGGTGACTGAAGGAGGCCGTGCACACCTCTGCCCACCCAGCCTGTCCCTGGCTGGTGGTGCTGGGGTGGGTTTGCAGCCATGTGAGGAGGCAGAAATGAGGGGATGAGGAGTCAAGTTCAAAGGGAAGTTGATGGCAGGCAGGCAGAGCAAGCACCTGGATGGTGAGCCCCTGTCTCCCTTGCCTGAGAGCAGGAGCTGGGGGCTTGGCAGAGGGGCTGCTCAGGTAGTAGCTGTGGCCCCCATTTGTGCTGTCCTGTTTCCTAACTGTCCCCTAAGTCCCCAGCCCTGTGTGCTGGGGAGTCTTGCCAGCCTTTTCAGAAGAGCAGGACTAAGCTCATCTTCCCCAGGGCTTGGGGACTACGGGGAACCCAAGGGAGTGCCACAGTCACAATATGTGGAGTTTCCAGAGCTGGGCCACGGTCTGCTAATCACAGTATCACAGAGTCACTTAAAAACCAGATAGCCTTCCCTGGGTGATGAAAAGGGAAATGGTGTGACCTGTCCTGCCAGGGAGGGAAGGGCAGTAAAGCTGGTTTTGCTGTTAGACTGTTTGTTTCAACACTCAGTTAAAACTGCAAAATAGGATCTAGTACAAATCCCAGGCAGCTCGAGGGATAGACGTTGTCCTGTATTAACTCATGATCTCTCCTTATTGTTGCTGGAGTTAGTTCCTGCTGGTCTTTCTCCCTTGCCCCAAGAGGAGACTTTTCGCAGGAGACACTCTCAGGCATGCAGAAGCGCTGGGTTGAGCCCTGTTGGGGTCTTCTTGTTGGGATCTTCTCCGCTGTCTCCCAGACTAGAAATCCCTCCACGCAGGAAAGAGGGGGCCTGCTGCCACCTCGTGGAGGCTGTTCCCACCCGGCACGGAGCTCCCACGGAGGTCGGCACAGCCGCCCCCTGCCAGCTCCTCCTCCATCACCTCCGCCGTCGACGGAGACCAGCCTCACACCTCCCTCCTTCTCCTTCTAGGAAGATGCACACGGGGTTGGGTCGTTTGGTTCCATCTCGGGCCATTCACACTTTGCCATCACTGGCAGAGCTTCACCCATAATCCTGGAACATCCCAACATGTGCCAAGATGGGACCTCAGCCCACACACTTTTAATAGAACATCTTTGTGAGGTGTGGGCACAGGTCTGTCTTCACCCAGGGGCCTGGTTTGAATTACTTGTGCTGCAAGATGCTCCCCCCACCTCCAAAATCTGCCCCCTGGCTGGGCTGGATCCTGTTCCTGGCCTGCCCAGTTCCCCATCACAGCCTCTCCCAGTGCCCTGGGGCACCCTGGCTGCACAGGCACCTTCCCACCCCTGTGAGCAGCAGCTGAGCACCCTCCAGCCTGGACACATGACCACTAAGTGGCTTTTTTTCTTTTTCAAAACCTTCCTGTAACATCATCACTGCCTGGGGAGAGAAGCCAGCACAGGGGAGCGAGCCAGGAGCCAGCTCTCTCACAGAAAACACCCTCAAATTGATTTTGTTGCTGAGGGAAAGTTAGTTTTGTTTTTCCACAACAGTGGCAGCCAGCCCCTGGGCATCCTTCTCTCCCACCACTGCTGGTGTTTCACCCACACTGCTTCATAGTCTGCACAGGAGGGCTGGGCTGCAGGGAAAAAAGCTCTGGGCCACATCCCACTCCCTACCCACGAGGCAAGCCCAGGGACGCTGCATTTTTCCTCCCAAAGAAGAGATCTGCAGTACCCCTCCTCCCCATAGCTCGTGTCAGAGATTTACCTGGATTTGCCAAGATATCACAACCTTTGGGCTTTCAGTGTTGAGGCTGAAGCTCTTTAGGACTACCAGCTGCGCCAAACCGTGACAGTTTAGCAAGGATTAAGGGTCTGAGGCTGGGTTTTTGTAAATCCAGTAGCACTTGGATCAGTAGTTCTCAGCCGTGTGCCTTCGGGCTCCAAGTTATTAACCTTCTGTTTCAAATAACAAGCCACAGGCATATAGAGGGCAAGAAGGCGGGGGCACACGCAGCACAGGGCAACGTATCACACAGTGCATGTCACACACTGCTCACAATCGGAATTAAAACTTTTGCTGGGACTCAGAAAACAAGACCCACCTGGAACACTGGTGCTGTAAATCACTGACTTGCCCGAGACCATCGTGCTCCCACAGAGAGGTGTGTACACAAATTACCCCCGAATTTCGGGTCACTTTTGCAGCAGTGGAAAAGGCCTGTGAGCAGGTTCCTGTTTGCAAAACCCAGGGCAGCTCTGGCTGTGGAGCTCCATCAGGCAGCACCCACTCCCTGCTTGCTGCCCTGGAAAGTGGGGGAAGAAGGGCAGAGCTGGACTGAGCTGGGGAAGTGGCAATCCCATGGTGGGGAGGTGAAGGTGGGGATGGAAGGTGTAGCTGACATGTGAGGCTCTCCCCAGAGGAAGCTTTGCCACCCTGTCACACAAGGTCAGAGGGTTTACCTCCAGCTCCTGCCAGCCACGTTCTGCAACAGCCCGAGTCCTTAAACAGGAGAAGTTCAACAACACCCAGTGCAATAAACAGGAACAGCAGATTCCCAGGAACAAACATATTAATTCAGAGGCGCATATTATGGAGTGTTTAACTGTTCTGTAAATACCAAACCCATAGAAACCAGCATGAGGGCAAGTGCTAGTTAAATAGCCTTTATCACCTCTGCTCCCTAGGAGTGTTCACAGTTCCACAGGGGCCTGCTTTAAAAAGGTGGAGATTGCTGATGGGCTTTCTGGGGATAGGGGACCATGCCTGGACTTTACAGGTCCAAACCCTAGGAACAAGAATTTCTCCATGAAAAGGGGAAGGCTGAATGTTCTTACACAGTGCAGCCCTCACAGCCCATCATCACAGTGGAAGCTGAAACTGGGATCACACCTATGGAAGATGGGATCCCAAGCAACAAGGGCTCCTGTGCCTGGAGACAGCTTTCACTTAAAAAAAAAATCAAAGACAAACCAGGCCATCAGCCCCCTCTCAGTTAATCCTCACCTTTTATACACCCCAGTCCTCCCTCTAAAACCACACCCAAAACGGGGTTATTCTGCTGTAAATGAGGGCTGCCACACTAGTCTGCCAAAAACAGCTGTGCTGGTCACCACTGGCCACTCACCCTGCGCTTCTGTGAGGTGTTACAGTTCTTGTTTTAAACTTCCAAATTTTTGTAGTGCCTCCTAGGGGACCTCCCCCTCTATGTTTGGATCCAGAACAGTAAGTGTTTTGTAATTGTGGATGACAGCACCCCAAGGGTGGGCAAGACCAGCACTGCAGCCCACAGGCAGCAACCACCAGTAGAAACCCTCATGTTTTTCACGTGCCAACCTCTCAAGGGCAGCTCCCTGTTCAAAAGGGCCCATGTCACAGCCCTCCAGAGCCTCCTCCTGGCAATTTAAAGTTGGCTAATTCTGTTCACAATGTTATTAACTTGCTGGCAATGCTGTGGCATAGCATAAACATATCAGCAGGCTCTCCTCTGTCTTTATCTCCGCTTCTCCCCCAAATAAACAACAAAACCTAAAACCAAACATGGCTGAATTTCAGTGCAACAAGCCACTTTTCCACTAGGTGGAAGGAATTAATTTCTTCTACACACTGCATGGACTGCAAAGATTGATCATCTGAATAGAATAAATCATAGCTCCAAGAAACAGTTCCATTTTCCTCTGCAGTTCCACCTTTCTATTTCAGAGGTTTGGCACAGCTGTAACCCAAAAGTTTCCCTGCATATCCAGATGCACAATACGGGCTGTTCAAAGACACTAAATAACAAAGAAGCAGTCGTCCAAGAAAGCAAAACTACTCAGTGGAACACACAAACAAAACACAAGACACATTCAAAAACGTTAAGTTAAACCTTTGGGTTGAAGAACACAAAAGTTACCACAAACATTTGAGCTCCCACCCAGGATCAGAGCTTTGACTGTTCTATCTCAGCTATTTAATGAAACCAGGTGACAGGCTGCTCATAATGCCCTGCACACACCTTTTCCAGATCTTACACTTGGTTTCTGGGCCTGATCTCCATCAAGGAGCACAACAACAGTTGGGACGCATTCAGTGGAGCAAAAAATCTGCAGACTGAGGCTCTCTTTGCTCACTGCAATTAAAAGAAACGGCAGAGAGAAAAAAGAGCAAACAACAAAGACATGAAAGAGCTGTATTGTTAAATCAGTACAAGCCATAGAACAGGCACATTGGACATCAGGGACAAGGAGACAACATGGAAAGCAGAGAACAAGAAGAGACAGGAAGAGACAAATAACAGTGTGAAATTCTAGTCTGTGACACCTTGGTAAAGTACATCAACATGAACCATGACTGGATTTCACCTTCAGTACTATAAATTAATCCATATCTACTTTCTGCTATAATGTGGCCGGTCCAAAGACCAGGCTGGAGGCTTCCAGACTTGTAGACAGTGGGGGGGAAAAGAACAGAACCAAACCAAACCAGAAGTCTCTACTTTCCTCCCTTCAAAGACACAAAGGTAAAGGGGGTGACGATTTCCCTTACGAGCTGAGCAAAGCAAACAGTGAAGGTCGTGGCAGCGCTAGGGAGGAGAGCCCCGCACACAGTCAGACAGGAAGGTCACGCAGAGGCTGCTGTAGTAGGTGGGATACACCCGCATGTGGCTGACGTGGGGCGAGTCCGAGAAGTCCACGGCTTTCACGGGGACACCCAGCTGCTGCCTGGTGTCAGCCATGTGCTTCACCTCGCTGGCCTTGATGATGGCATCGGCCTGGGAGTAGAGGTACAGCTCGGGCCAGCGCGAGGGCGCCTTCAGCAGGGCGTCGTAGTGGCTCTCGTGGACGAAGCGGGTCAGGGGGTACAGCAGCACCCGCAGCACGACGGCTCCAGTGGCAAAGGTGAGCAGGAGGAAATACCTGAGCAGCACGTTCACGGAGACCAAGACAATTGCCAGGGCTCGAAGGGCTCCTACCAAGTTTCTTCTGCCAGGGGTGCTGTCGAAAATGGTGCCTGCTACTCTGAGGTTCTGGAACGGCTTGTGGGTGCGGAGCGCCTCGATGATGTAACGGTACAGCATGACACCACCATTGCTGAAAACATGGAAAAGAACCGGTCTGTCTTCAACCCTGTAGTGAAAGAGTAGCTCCAGGAGTCGCCTGGCTGGGGTCTGGAGCGATTTGATGCCAAAGCTCTCAGAGAAGAAGATCATCCTCCATGGAGCCGTGTAGCGGATGACAGTGCACCCCTAAGAAGAACAGAAACAGACCCCAAACACATTTAGGCTGTGCTGTAAATTACATGATGTAGGCAAGCATCAGTACAAAGAATGCAAAAATTTGGGACAGGTTTCCAACAGAAACCACAGGGCCAGAAGAAAGTCTTTAGAGTCAGCAGCAAGGCACTGATATGAACAGGATTACATTAATCACAACATTACATAATTATAACACTGTTATGAAAAGGTCTCTGCGGAGGCAGAAGCCTGGCTTTGCTGATGTCTGAGATCCTTTCAAATCTTGCACTAATGGCACGGCCCCTGAGGATACTGCCACCCACTTACATGAGTGTTAGTCCTCACTCAGGAGGAGAAAACCATCTCTCTGATTCACAGACCTTCAGTATCAGCCATTTTGGTAAGAATGTGGTGCACATCCAGCTCATGACATTGAAACAAATACAAGGAGGAGGAGGAATTTCATCCTATCCTTGGGTAGCACTTGTTTTCAGCTGTCTCTGAGACTCACCCACAGCCACCACTGACAGGATTTTTGTAAACCTTCCTGAAACGTTCCAGCTGTGCAAAAGAAGAGCTCTGGCTCAGGGACTCAGAACTCCTGAGCAGCTGCCTTTACACTGAAAGCCTTACACAGCAAACAGGATCATGGAGGATTTTCTAAATAGAACAGATGGAACCACATCTATAAATGCTTTAGGTCTTTTCTGTCACCTAAGCTCACTGACATTACACACTGACAAACACAAGGTGAAGCCACCCAGACAGCCCTCCCTCCCAGAGCTCCCTAAGCAGTGCAGAAGGAAGAGGAGAATACCAAGTTCTTAAATCAAAGTCTTCTCAACCATCTTGCCATGGTTACTGTCACTACCTCTTAGGGAGCTATGAAAACCCTTTCTCTCCTTTCCCCTTTCTATGACCTTTCTGATCTTCCAAGAAGTTGTCACGCTGCCCTGAAATGTACTTCTCATCTGCTCTGCAGCATCTCTTAGTCATAGCAGCCACTTAACAATTAACTCTTCACTAGATCGAGCCAATTAATGACTCCTGCACTCCACACATCAACAACAGACTTGTTTATGTACAAACTTTACCACCTATAGCTGAAACAGATTTGGATAGATACAGGATTCCTTGTATGCTGATCAAGAAAAAAAAATCAAGTGTTTCACTGGGTCCTCACACTATGAGTTGGGGTCATTCCAGTAAAATACAGCATTAGAAAGGAAAATATCAAAACTTAGGGAACTGGCAGTAGGATGGACCTCCCTAGTTCAAACACCAGGAGCTCCCAGTGAAAAGCTATGACTATCACAGGATGCCTGTTTCAGAGGCAGGATAAAATTAATTTAGATTACAACATTTACATGAATCATTTTCACAGGAAGGAAGAGCCAAAGGGGCAACAGATGCCAATGTGCTCTGTCAGTGCCCAGCCTTGCTGTGGCCTAACAGCAAGCAGCAAATGCAGGATCTTTCCCTGCATGTTTACCTGCCTGGAAAACTAACACAGGTCACGTCATTCCTGAATAATCCCAGAACTTTAAAAGCCTTAAAATACTTCAGTGATTCACAGAGCAGCTGAAAGTTTCTCCAAGTAAGTATTTTTGTCTCAGTTGCACACAGGAAGGTGACATCAGCAGCTGTTAGATAACACTGCCTGGGCTCCGGGAGATAAGGAGCTTTCAACGACAGGAGAACTCGCCACTCCCTCCCCATGACTCTGCAGATCGAGAGAGGATTCAGAGCAACTTTACCAACATGCAGAAAAGAGGCAGTGCCACAAAAACACAGACAAGCTACTCACCTTCTGGCTGTAGATTGCGCTGTATTTGGCCAGGTATTTGTCCTGGCAGCCCGCCCAGCCCAGCAGGATCACCACAGGCTGGCGCTCTGCGTGCCCTCTCTCCGCGCTGCTTTCTGAAACTAATCACAAGTTTTAACATAACGCCCCTCCAGCCTGCCCGAGCCGGAGCTCACGGCAGACTGCCTGGCCAATGCAGTTTAAATGCAATGTGGGAGCAGGCATTAGCTCGATCTGCCCGCTGGCCGCGACCGCGGCCTCCGCCCGGTGTCCCCGCGGGGCCCTGCTCGGCAGGACAGCGCCGCTTCAGCCCCCGCAGCTCCCACCGCTCCCCAGTGACGCACAGCCAGCGCCGAGCAGATCCCTACGGGGAGGCGAAAGCCCTCCTCCCGGGGGCACCAGGGGCTGTCGTGCCCCGCTGTTCCAAGGGGGAAAGCGAAGCGTCCTGCCCTGCCCTGCCCTGCTCTCACTGCCACACACCTGCTACGGCACCTCCCCTCAGGGTCC